GGATGGCCTTAGAGAATATTTTGCTTAGTGAAATCAGTTCAGTTCAGCTTAGTTCAGTCCCTCAGTCATGTCTGACTCTTTGCGACCCCATGAATCACAGCACACCAGGCCTCCCTGTCCATTACCAACTCCCAGAGTTTACCCAAACCCATGCCCATTGAGTCAGTGATGCCATCCAGCCATCTCATCCTCTGTTGTCCCCTTCTCCTCCTGCCCCTAATCCCTCCCAGCATCAGGGTCTTTTCCAATGAGTCAACTCTTCTCATGAGGTGGCCATAGTATTGGAGTTTCAGCTTAAACATCAGTCCTTCCAATGAACACCCAGGACTGATCTCCTTTAGGATGGACTGGTTGGATCTTCTTGCAGTCCAAGGGACTCTCAAGAGTCTTCTCCAACATCATAGTTCAAAGCATCAATTTTTTGGTGTTCAGCTTTCTTCACAGTCCAACTCTCATACCCATACATGACCACTGGAAAAAACCATAGCCTTGACCAGACGGACCTTTGTTCACAAAGTAATGTCTCTGCTTTTTAATATGCTGTCTAGGTTGGTCTAACTCCTTCCAAGGAGTAAGTGTCTTTTAATTTCATGGCTGCAGTCATCATCCACAGTGATTTTGGAGCCCCATAAAATAAAGTCTGACACTGTTTCCACTGTCTCCCCATCTATTTCCCATGAGGTGATGGGACCAGATGCCATGATCTTAGTTTTCTGAATGTTAAGCTTTAAGCCAACTTTTTCACTCTCATCTTTCACTTTCATTAAGAGGCTTTTTAGTTCCTCTTTGTTAGAGCAAGACAAATATGACTCACGGACAGAAACAGACTCACAGACATAGAGAAGCAATTCACAGACATTGAAAATAAACTTGTGGTTACCAAAGTGGAGAGGGAAAGGGTGGGGCACAAATTAAGGATATGAGATTAACATATGCAAATTATTATAAAGTACAGAAGCAACACAGATTTAATGTACAGCACAGGGAATTATACCGATTATCTTGATAATGCAATAGAATCTGCAAAGAGCTAAAGCAGTTATAATAGACCAGTTTAGGCAGTTTTAACTTTCCAAAGCTCATACAGTCTTTAAGGCAGTTTACTCCCATGCTTCAGTGCAGGGGTCCCCAACCTCCAGGATCTAATGCATGATGATCTGAGGTGGAGCTGATGTAATAATAATAGAAATAAAGTGCACAGTCAGTGTAATGCACTTCAATCATCCTTCCCCCAGTCTGTGGAAGAACTGTCTTCCCTGGTGCCCAAAAGGTTGGAGACCTCTGCTTTAGTGTACTATATCTGTATCTTGTAATTTCTAAGCTAAAAGACCTTCCACATTATCTTTTCATCTATGTTTGTCATTTGCAATATTCCACTGCTTCTTGGTAGTAATTAATTTTTTGAGGATTTGAAATATTATAGCCTGCAAACTAGGATATGGGAAAAATAAGATTGAGTTATTACCCTCAAAAAAAGAGGAGAAAGAGCAAACATACAGACAACATAATAGTCTACGCACAATGAAATAGTAGCTTAAAAATGTATAAGTAACTTTCTGTGGGAGTTTAGCACTAAAGAAGAAATTAGCATTAAGGAGAAGACAGAGCCTTCCAAGTATATTGAAGAATGAATTCTGAGACTCAGAGGAGGAAAAGGTGATTGCAGCCATGAAATTAAAAGACGCTTACTCCTTAGAAGGAAAATTATGACCAACCTGAACAGCATATTAAAAAGCAGAGACATTACCTTGCCAACAAAGGTCCATCTAGTCTGGCTATGGTTTTTCCAGTAGTCTCATATGGATGTGAGAGTTGGACTATAAAGAAAGCTGAGCGCTGAAGAATTGATGCTTTTGAACTGTGGTGCTGGAGAAGACTCTTGAGAGTCCCTTGGACTGCAAATTAATCCAACCAGTTCATCCTAAAGGAGATCAGTCCTGAATGTTCATTGGAAGGACTGATGTTGAAGCTGAAACTCCAATACTTTGGCCACCTGATGCAAACAGCTGATTCATTTGAAAAGACCCTGATGCTGGGAAAGATTGAGGGCAGAAGGGGAAGGGAGCTTGAGATGGTTGGATGGCATCACCAACTCAATGGACATGAGTTTGGGTAAACTCTGGGAGTTGGTGATGGAAAGGGAGGCCTGGAGTGTTGCGGTTCATGGAGTCACAAAGAGTCAGGCACGACTGAGTGACTGAACTGAACTGAATTGAACTTAGCTCTGATTCTATCTGAAAAAAAGTCCATATACAAAATTGCTCATTTGTTCAATACAGTATTTCAATCTAAACTTCACTAATATGGATTTGTATCTGCCAGAGAAATAACCCATCAATTCACAGGAAAGAATAGGTAAAGTATTTGATGGTATTCATCTATTCAGTGCTTAAACTGTTGCAATTAGGCATTAAATATATAAAGTCCAACATTTAAAATGTGCAAAACTCCCATCAAGTTCAGCATTGTGTAACTCAACACACCATTTATGATCAAAGAAAGATTTAGAAGCTAACTATAACAAATTTTCTAGAAAGAAAACTCAATGGAATGTCAATATTCCCTTTAATTCTGAGTCAGAATAGAAGAATTCCTTCATGTTTTTGTTTTGAACTTCATGTACTTATATGTTCATGGAATCAGCTGTTAAATATTTATGTTATCAAACAGGAATTCCTGTTACTTTAGTAGTAAAAGATAAAATACATTTTAGGCACCTGGAAACCACTATATGGCCTTTATTTTGTGTTTCTTCTTAAATTTAATATCACTGAAGAATAAAGAAACTTGTATTAAAATTGTTACATTTCATATATGCTTAAATTGACCATTATAATCTTTACTCAATAGCTCAGAAATCTAGTTTTTTATAAAATTAAATGCCGTTTCTGTGCTCATCTTATTTCCTAAATAGCACTTTTGAAACAAGCATACTCAGCTTATCAGCAGGAGATATTACATTCCTTTTTCTTATCAAACAAGTCATGCAAGTAAACTGTTCTAAGTAGCATGAAGAATGTAGTCTGCATGAAAACTTCATACTGTCAAAGTTCCTTCCATAACTCACACTATAAATGAATAAGAATTTGTGTTTCCACCACAAAAAATAAACCTTGGAATTTTGATACAGAAGGATTCCTCTGTTTCTGTTGTATCCTTATTTTCTCCTCTACAATAAAACATTTCATAATAGGAAACCAGAACTCCATGTTTACCATAATCACCACTATATATATACAATTATTTTGTCTATGATATTCTGGGATACGAAAGAGAAAGTGAAGGAATGCTTGATTAATGAACATTCAGTCACTCTTTAAGTATTTCTTATATCACATCTATTATTTGAATGGCTACAAAGTCAGTACTTAATTTCACTGTGCACTATGATCCTATTAATTTATTTTGTGACATCACAATAAAGGAAAATGTTAACAGCATTTTATTTGCTTCTCCAAAAGAAATCATAGTTCCTGATATTACCTTCAACTGTTAGATTTTAAAATGTGTCTCAGAAAATGTTACAAGCCCCACACACTTTTTTAAATGTTGAGGGTACAGCTCAAACACAACTTTTCATTATTAAAAGCCCATGCCATTCATTATTTGTGACACATTTACTAAATACCCTCTATTGTAGAAATAGGGGTTAGTGTACTAATCCAATATTGTCCTCATTCCTCATTGAATGTTTAATTAAAAGATCCCTGAAATGCATAAAAATGATTTCCAAAAGGCCTTAGGAGACTGCAATTTAACAGAATAGGGCAAGTAGAATGAACAGCAAACTTTTGTTGCTTGGTAAATTTTAATAACGTACTCCTATTTCAATATTTAACAGTTCATTACCTTGAAGATATTTGCAATTTCTCATCAACTTGCTACATAGTAAGGATTAATTATAAATAATCAAAACCTCTAGAAGGAAAAGGAAATGTACAAATACACGTTTTTTACTTTCTCCCTAATATAACTTATAGGTAAAAAAAATTCTGATGTGATTAAAAAAAATTCAAATAAGCTTCTGTGGAACTATGAAGCTACTATATAAACAAAGGTGTCAATTCTACAAGCCATTCTTGTTCTATTGTTGCTGTTTGAGCTGAGTTTTCCTCCTTAACTGCTATGGAGTATATAAACAGAGGCAAAACCTAGTGCTGTTTGGTGATCAAACACACTAAAAAGTACCAAGAGTAATTCTATTGTTCCTTTAATCAGAGTGACAAAAATACTTTGAGGAAGGTCCAAGGTGAGATGTGGAATGGCAGCACTGGTATTGTTTATAAGTGAAATGTATCCTTTAAAAATTGCATGTCACAAAAAAATCATTATGTATCACCATTTCAGCCAAGCTCAAGTCGAAACATTTTACCATGTCTGGAAAGAATGTGATGCGTGCATAAGTAAGTACCACCCCACTATAAGAAAGCTTCTGATACTTTAAATGTTTTAAATGTAAGATTTCACACAGAATAATCATAGTATGCTTTCATATTATAAATCCTGCTTGTTAAACTAAGATAACTTTTACACATGCATTTAAAAATAAAATATGGCAAACATAATAAAAATTTAATTATAAATTCAAGAGTTCTTTTACCCCTTTTGAATTTTAAGGCTTATAAATGTATGACATTTAAAAAAATAAACTGATTACCTCTCTTAAATGTAGGCATTTCACTTTCACATAAAAACAAAAAAATAAAAACAAAACCATAATACACACTAGAAATTAAGAATCTTGTGGAAAATTTCCTCACTGCTGATACTCAGTTTAACTGACTGTATTTCAAACAAAACCATGAGCTATGTGATTCAGCTCAATTTATAATCAAGTTTTTGTGGATTTTTTTCAACTTTACCTTGCAAAATATGTTTGTGCAAATTACAAAAAAGACAACAACAAAAAAATACCTCCATAGTTCTTTGATTCTAAAACTGCAATTAGTATTTTAGCTTCTAGTTACAATGTATCATCAAAAAACAAAAACAAAACTTACTTGATTTGTCCCATAAGGCAGTATGTTCAGAGAAATGAAGGCTGTCATTTTCCAGAGTTGTTTTCTGATCATGTGCAGTACCTTTGGAGTGTCTATGAAATAATCGGCTCGCAAAACCTTCCAATTTCTGAAGAGCAGTAGTACCTGTATACTGGTTACAGGGTACTTCTCTATAAGCGGCCATTCATGTGTATTTACACTTAACTTATAGTAACTGAAAATATTTCCAGAAGGAGCTCAACAACTACTTACACAGAAGCTAAGAGCTATGCATGTGTCAAACTTCCTGTTTGCAGGGTATTCAAACCACTACTGCTGTTCTGTTTCCTGTTAATATAAAACAGCACATTACTGAGCCTTGCTTAGCAAAACTGTTCAACTAGAGATGAAGATTTTAAAGACTTGCAATATCATCCTTAAAAGGTCTATGTTTGAGTGTTTTAATACTAATACACAGGTTAATGAGAACATTAATTATAAAGCTTTAAATATAAATAATAAGCTGAAAAAATTTTTAAAAAGGAAAACTATTTACACATGCATTATAACCCTATACGAATAACTGAAGGTCAAACCACTCTCCAAATGTAATAAGTTTAAAAGGTTGTGTTCTTTTTTTCCCAGCAAAGCAGCTAATATAGACTAGGATAGACTTTATAGATCCTTATAAACAGTTAACTTTTCATTGAAAACCTGTATGGAACAGATATTACAAAACACTTAAAAAACAAACATAACTTTTAATGAAAAAAATGTGAACTATAATTTAAAAAAACTCAACATTGCTAATTCACTGACTTAAATCTAATACATACAGAAACTACAAAAACTTAGTATGTTAGTATTGCTTACCAAACATAATTTGCTGACAAGTGCACATCTGCAGTACATTTTAAAACATTCTATAATTTGAAAAAATATTAAGATTTAAAGTATATAAAATCAGCCACAGTGAGAGGTTTCAGTTGAAAGGAAAAAAATCATTCTAGTTGACTGAAATATATTAATTTTTATACCTGACACTGAGGATTGCTGCTTACCTGATCTCTGATTTAGGGATCTCACTTTGAAACAGCAACTTTAGTTAAAAGTAAACTGTCCATATGCACAAAAAAGTAACCTGTGACATTTAAAAATGATTCTGGGTACTTGCCTTGTGACACTTTTATTAAAGGATGATAAGGAGGGAGGAAGGAGAGAAAGGAAAGAAAGATCTTTTAAAAAAAATCTAATGAGAGATGGGAGGGAGATTCAAGAGGAAGGGGATATGTGTATACCTATGGCTGATTCATGTCGAGGTTTGACAGAAAACAACAAAATTCTGTAAAGCAATTATCCTTCAATTAAAAAAAATAAATTATAAAAAAGTAATCTATCAAAAAATCTTATGATTTCCTGCCTACTGCTTAACAAACAAAATAAATAGAAACAATAATGACAAGCAGAATAAAAAGGAATAATAATATTTAATCAAATTAGGATACCACACACACACACACACACACAAAGGAAACATTGACTAATTTGTTTTGCCAAATAAGAGCTTATTTGTGTACATTTTATTTTGTGCAATAAAATTAGTATCAAGCTAAACAAACAGGCGACAGTATCTACAAGACCAAACTTCTTAAACTGTAGCCTTTTGAGAAATGTGTGTATATAATAATAGATAACTTCTTTATTAACAACAGACTACACAAAACACACCCTCAGCAGGTGTCTCCAGTGTTTAATAAACACCTATAGAGCATGAGCTGGTTTTTTACAGGCGTAAAGTGGATAAAATTCCTGAATCTTTCACTTGCTTTCTTGGGATAAATTCTATTCATCCTCAAGGCTCAGCAAAAGTTCCACCTCTTCATGGAAAGTTTCCCACAAATTTCCTGGAAAAATAAACTGCTCTCTGCTATTTCCAATAATCTTGGAATTTTATTTTTAAAATTTGTTTACAAATTTATCTCTCAAATTGTGCAATGCACATATTACATAATAAATATACATATAAAAGTATTCATTCATTTTTAATAAGTTAAAGGTCTAAGTAAAATCAAACACTTGAAAATATTTTATTTATGATAGGATCATATTTGTAAATTATCCAACCACCACCTAGTTGCTCATATATAGAGACAACAGCAATGGAAGTAGTCATTTAACTTCTCTATTTAATCTGTTACAAAATTTTATTTATTCTTTGAGTTTCATTTTTATTAGTGCAAATGTGGATTTCTAAAATAACTTATTTTCCCTGCTTCCAGCCACTCCTTGCAATCACTCATCTCTGACATATGAACCTCCCCAAAATATTACACTCACAGTATTCCCTTGCCAAAAGTACAAGCTAATTCTAACATTTCAGCCCAAAATACTTGTTTTTAACACAACATGTCTAGCTAGATTTATATCCAACATTGCTGGAGTTCCCTACAAATATTCCAGATTTGTAAATATAACACTCAGGTTAATTTACTTAAAGCAATGTATAAACTTTATAACAAAATTACCATAGGAAGGAGGGGGAGGAGGTGGAGGAAGCAAAGAAGGGAGTAATCTTCAACACTTTAAAATTTATCCTTTTTCTTTAGTAAAACTCTTTTTTATCTGTTACAAAGTCCTTATAGAAAGTAAAATCTTTAGTGCCTACAGCAGTATTTCTATATATGGTAATGTGAATAGGAAGCTGTTGTTATATAAGTACTTAGGCAATTTGATTCTTACTACAAAGAACTCTACTGTCATCTAGTGCTAGAAAGAAATAACTACAGCTTTAACTAAAACTGAATTTCTTCATAATTCAAATTAATCTTAAGTATTTTGCTTGTTACCCTTCCTGATAGTATTTTCATAACCTGAATTTGTGCTAAGATGTCTAGCCATGTACCCAAACTTGCTATAACAGCATATCTTATATTCTATTAACAGTTTAAATAATGTATGATAATAAATTATACCAGGGCTTCCCTGGTAGCTCAGATGGTAAAGAATCTGCCTGCACTGCAGGAGACCTGGGTTTGATCCCTGGGTCGGGAAGATCTCCTGGAGAAGAGAATGGCAAACCACTCCAGCATTCTCACCTGGAGAATCCCATGGACAGACCATGGGGTCACAAAGAGTCTGACAAGACTAAGCGACTAACACTTTCACTTTCACTATGATAATAAAACTAGAGAGTAATCAACCTAGAAGTTATAAAATCTTTATTATTCATTCTGCATTAATTCTAAAATTCATAATAATTTTCAGAGTTGAATCTCTGATTGCCATATCACAAAATATTGCTTTATTTCTGATATTTAATAATAGTAATGATGATAGCTTACATTTCCAAAAACATTTTACAACATATAAAATGGTTTCCACTGATTTCAAAAGAAGCAAGCAGAACAGGTATTATTATCCTTAAGATTAGAAAACAAACTTATAAATATTAAGTGACTTGCCAAGTCACCTATGTCTTCTGCCTCCTAGATCAAGCCTCCTTTGTACTGACAATAATGATTCCCACAGTAAAGACTTCTTCAAACAAGGGTAGGGAAGTGGAGATTAATGGCTGGCAGGAGATGGAAATGGTTTCCAGAGTCTGAGATTCTGCTACAAGAAAATGTTTATTCAGATGGTTACCTTACAGCCGTGCAATTTCACTGTCCACATTTATGTTTATAATCATGTTGGGGCCAAGTAGAACTATATACTAGTTTGAAGGTTAAATTAAAAACAACAACAACAACAAACACGGAAGCATATTTGATTGTAAATAATATATCTGCTACAGGCAGATGGCAAATGATATGACCATGACTGCTGCTATACAAATAAAGGTTTTAGAGTAATAGTTTTGCCTTTTCCAAAATGGATTCATACCTTTTATAAGTGAATTCAACTATTTAAGACTGGCTGATTTCATTTAGCACAACATAAAAACAGGTTCATCCATGTTATGTTTTTCAATAGCTTTTTTAAATTGTATTTATTATTTTTATTAGTATTTATTCAATACTAATTTTTTATTGACTAGTACCCCACTGCTCCACTGTATGGATTTACCACAATTTATATATCCATTTACAATAAATTGCCTTTGCACCTTTGTCAATAATCAGTTAACCATAACTGCATAGGTCTATTCTAGGCTTTCTACATTGTTCTACTGATATATGTGTCAGTTCTTTCATCAGTGGTGTACTGTGTTGGGTACCGTATCTTTTAATTAAGTCTTCAAACTGACTGAATGAATCTTTCAACATTTTTTTTTTTTAGTAAACTGTTCTGGCTATTATAGTTTCTTAAGCTCTCTAAATTTTAAAAGTTTGTCCATGTCTACAAAAATAATCTTGCTAGGACTTAATTGAGATTGTTTATTGAGAGAAATGATAACAATAGCTTGAGTCTTTCAATACATGATCATATCATATCTAATTTTTCAGGGCCTTTGATTTCTATCATCAGTGTTTTATATTTTTCAGCATACAGATCCTGTACATATTTTGTCAGTCTTATACTTAAGTACTTACTGCTCCTTAATTGGAGCTATTTTAAGTGGTACTTTGAAAGATGTTTGCAATTGTTCATTGCTAGTATACAGAAATATGACTTATTTTTCTATGCTAACCTTGTGTACTGGAACCTGGCTAAATTCACTTATTAAGCTTTAGGAATCTTTTCCTTTTTCTAGATTGTTTGAGATTTTCTATGTAGAAAATTGTTATCTTTCAACAGATACAGTTTGTTTTATTTTTCCTTTTTAATTCCTTTGCTATTTGCTTTTCTTGCCATACTGCACTGGCTCGGACTTCCAGGAACACATTAAACAAGGGGTAAGACTAAACATTCTTGCCTTATTCCCAATCTTAGGAACAAAGGGTTCAGTTTCTCATCACTGATTTTGATGTCAACTGTAGAAATTTTTTGTAGATGCTCCATACTGAGATAAAGAACTTCACTTGTATTCCTAGTTAGCTGAGTGCTTTATATAAAAAGGATGAATTTTATCAAATACTTTTTCACATTTGTTGATTTGATCATATGGCTTTAGTCTCCTTTAGTCTGCTAATATGGTGGATCACAGTTACTAATTTTCAAATATTAAACCAGACTTGAATTCCCAAGATAAACACCTCTTGGTCTTGGTGTACTATTCTTTTTCTAAATTGCTGAATTCAATTTACTAATATTTTATTAAAGATT